CAAGATCAGACAGTCCAAAGTGAATTTACACGAAACAGCAGAAGATTAGGAAGAAAATGAACCCTTTTCACGGACTTTTTTTACAGTGCGTCTCAGCTGTGTTTCGTATCCCGTAGAGCTCCCAATTGCCCTGAGTTTAAGCAGCAACGACTGCGATGGCTATGAAAATGTCACATAAAAACAGGGGCAACCGGCGACTTTTTTTCTGTAAAATTACTGTTCGAAGGAACAAATATTGCCTGAAAAATTCTAAAGCTTGAGAAAAGCTAAAAAATTTCTGGAGCGATAACCGTTCCATTCGTCTAAATAGCTTAACTGCGATTTGTCACATCTTATTATCAAGATATTGCGATTATTGTTAAAAAAGGCCTCCTAAAACTTTCGGTATAAAGACAAAACGTCCCCTAAATTTTCTACTGAAATTAAGGCTAATTCATGTCCTCGAACTTTCGACTGGACCCATAAGGGTAGCTAACACTTTCGGTTGAGACAAAAAAGCCACCTAAAACTTTCGTGACGACCAAAGTACCCCTAAGACATCCGAACAGATAAATAGTTTTTAGGGCAACTCCAAATTAACCAAACAGGCTCCTAAGGCATAGAGAAAACCATCTGAGGCACTTTTGGCGTATTTGGAAACAATCGGTCGTTGGGTGCCCCTGTAAAAAGTGAATTCGCGCTGCTTTAAACTTTAACGGGCATATATTTTTATCTCCTTCAATGTTTCAAATGCTGGCAATTTTTTTGGAGTTGAATTCTAAAAGACTTAATCGAATGCAGGACAAGAAAAAGAAGATCGTTGTCTTGTGTTCTCGTCCTCCACAAAAAGTGAAATTACAGTTAAGCGGTGACCGCAAAGAAATGTACATAGAAGCGTGATGCACGAGCAAAGTTGTTGCTTTTCTTAAACCTATTGCTTTTTTGCCGTTGCCCGCCATGAAGCCCTCCTGGAGTTGTTTAATTAGCTAACGACACACTGAACATAAATGACCCAAGGTTCCTGGGAGCTGCGTGGGAAATTAGTCCCAGTTTTCCTTATTTCAATGTAGTCTTAAAAGTACCCAAGATGGCGGGCGGTTGTGAATTTAATACCAGCCTTAACCCAAGTCCGACTCGATCTCTTTTACAGCCATTTTTGGTGTCGTCGTGCAACTCTCCTTGTTACGTGGCGGCACAAAAAACGGCTGCTAAGGATGTAATAATTGCCGGCGTATTTTTTGGTCGAGCGAAAGCTGCTTTTTTATGTTCGTAATGCCGTGGTCGTCATCTTTGATGTTATTTACAGAGGAAGATTGGGGAGAACAGAAATATCTACCCTAGGGCGATAGACGGTGACGGGGGATATGGAGAGGAGAAAATACACGAGCGTAAACATTCGCGCACTCGAAGAAAACCCCTGCTATGCAGTTTAAGAAGACTACTACAGTCGGTATGCGGTTTGAAAGTATGAAGTATATGAAGTATATCTGAAACTATTATCCTTGGAGTAAATTTGATTTCATAGTTTCATAGTTTCATAATTGATTTCATAGTACGAAGAGTCACATTTGAACAACATAGTTCTTACAAATTAAGCCGAAAAGTCTGCACTTTCCACTTATAAATACTTAGAGATTTTCAAAAAATGAATAATGGTAAGATTAGCAAAAAAGAGAACCCAGGATTTTACAGTGTGGACACTCAAACCGGGACACTTGGAAGAAGATCGCCCAATCCAACGTTTTCTGAAAACAAAAAGATCCTAAATTTTTTTTTGCAAACGGATTTATAAACTTCAAGGTTCAACCATGCAAACGTTGAAAACTTTAAAACAATTTGAACCTACCTGACGTATCAGGAAACAGCCCGCTGTGATTGGACGAGCTTCTTCCAAGTGCTCCGGTGCCGGAGAAATTGCTTAGTTTTTGTAAATAAAGCAAATCGTAATTTTTCCAAACACTATATTCCTCGGCGCAATTATTTAACCTTTTCAAAACTAAAACACGTTTCTTTGAAATTTTAAGCCTTCCATAAATATACCTGACTAGTAAGCTAGATAAACCAAAACCCTAAAAGCCTAACCAAATCTTTTTCCAGTGCAAGTGATTTTCATTTTGTTTCCAGATTGACACCATAAGGGTTGAAAATAGGCAAACGCCAAATAGCTACTAGCTTTTCGACAGAAGAAACCGTTGAGACCTAACAGCTTAAACATATTTGACTAATGGACTGTACATGTCAGCTTCCTGATGGGTCTTATTCAGGAATTACTCACCGTATTGGAAATATGTTTAACGTTCTAGCAAAGATGAATCTTTGGTGAGACTGAAGACGTTAATGGATGCTTGATAAACAGTGTTGTGAAGTGAATATTATCGTTACTTATGGTTTATGGCTTATTGCGATGTTTGCCTCAATTTCGTGCGAAAATATCCCCCCGAAATGCTGGCGAAATGATAACGGCAAGACCGGCTTTTTAAATCATGTTTTTAACCTCTATTTCCTATTGCTTTGAATTCTCAATAAGTCAAAATTAAATAGCTACATAAAACATACAGAACATAACTTCTTTTTACGCAACATCGCTTACCGCCCATTACATTTAATCTTCGAAACTTTCATTTAAGTGATACGCACTTCAATACATCCTCCTGTCAACATTTCTCAGGATTTCGATTCTTATCGTAACTAAAGAGCTAGATGCCGGCCGGAAATTACTAAGAGTTCATTTTCACCAGTTGATATCTCTCATCTTTTGAAATTGCTATGCGCCTAAATACCTTTAAAAAATTGTCAATCCTACGCATTGTTTACAACTGCACGTGATAATCCGGTCTTTCTCAGTTTACCCTTATGTACTTTTACAGTGTAGGGATGCCTGAATGATTAGGCTTTGTGCTATTTACCATCTTTTAATAGTTTGCTTTGAAAAAGCAGAACTTCAAAGGGGCACAGTCAACCACCTGCGCATTTGATACCATTTCTTAGCTGATTTGCATATAACAAGATACGCGATTTATACTGTTTTAAACTAAATATGATAAAATAATATATTAATAGGGTGAATAAAAACAATACTCAGGAAAATATCGAACATCGAATGAAACATTAGGCAAGATTGAGGCGAATTTCTAGATGTATCCGACGTTTGCCTATATTTCGGGTTGACGTAAACGCTTTTCAAAGTTGCAAAACTAGTGTCCGGGTCACCGCGGCCCCAAAGCTGACTGTGTTCCATTAAATTTATTCTGCGGTTTCATAGGACAGTGATAGGAGCGGATCCGGTGCGGAGTCAAGAATCGGTGACATATTACTTGCGCTGCCTTAAAGACTTTCCGATAGCATTTTTGCTTCGGGGTCACTAATAAACGTTATGATAACATTTTCTGATCGTTTGTCTTGGGAACCGTATATAAAAATGAGCACTTATAAGAAAGCATGTTTACCCAAAAAAAAACAAGCAAACAAACAACCAAATGTTTTGTCCAATTCTAAACACAGACCGTTTGTTTAATATTTGTTGCAACATCCGTCAAATCAGTGGCTTGGTTAAGTTGTTCTTCCAGAACTAATCTACCAAGTAGAATGCACTTTGATTAAAAGTGGTCGGATTTTATCCAAGGTTATCAATAATAACTGGTTCAAAATTTAATGAAGTTTTCTACAGCAACGTAGCATAATCTAACGCAGATTATTAGAAGCACTATCCTACTATTCTTATCTTTTTTAAAAATACTGTAATAAAAATGCAGAGAAGAAAGGGTAAGAAGCAAGATCCGATAGTAATGCAAGATTTGCAGGACTTTTCAAAGGAAAGTTAAAGTGGTCTTTTATTAATCCTTACATCTGAACAAAAATTATTTACTGAATGCAATTAAAAGGATATTCCTGCTTTCTGAACCTTGGTTTCCTATAAAAGGGATACTTTATGTGTTGGGAGCTTCAAACTTTCCCCTGACTTTGTCTTTGCGGAGCCGGCTTTCAAGAGCAACATTTTGAGTCTCGAGGCAATACAGTTTTCAAGATGAACTCAAAAGTGATCTTTGTTCTTGTTTTTGTTATATTGTCAACGTTGATAAGTCAAGGCGAGGCTTTTCGTGCAGGAACCGGTGGTTTGGGAAAGAAACGTGAATTAAATGGGTGTGTCGAGGTAAAGTCCGTCTTATTGCCTTATGGCAACGTAGTGTTTTTATTAGTATGGGCCAAAACGTTTTCATGAAATAACCCTTAATGATCTCTTACAAGAACCAGCAATCAAAAAGACATCTTTGGCGCTTGAAATCTGTGTTATTTTTCTATTCTTCCCCCAGGTGCAGTGTGTAACAATAACGCGCTTCAAGCAAAGAATAGTGCAGTTTTTAGATCAGTCCTACGTGAATTTTACGCAAACGTTTCCCATCTCCTTCCCAAGAAAAATGGAGATAGGGTTCCTGTGCAGTGAAAGTTCAAGTGAGGATTTCTTAGCACAGGAAGAGGGGCTCTGATATCAACATCAAATTTGCCAAAAGATCCAACGGTGAGAGGCAGTTTCTAGGTTAAAGCTGTTGGCCAACCATGAGCAATGTTCCTTCGTCTTTCTAATTTTGATCTCTCTAAATTGTCTTAGGTCACAAGTCAGCTGCAACGTATCTGTACAATTGCTGCAACTGCATGTCATGAGCCAATGGGGAGACGAGAAATGGACATGTACATCTCCAACTGAACTAAATTGGACGCTGGTCTTTCGACGAAGTCTCTTTGTTCTAAGCATAGTTAATAGAGGGAATGGTTATGAAACCCGACAAAGTTCTTTGTTGTATGTTTTTGTTCTCTTTTTTGGCCTTGGTTATTTTATTAAATCATTTTAAATTATAGAACCTTTTCACTTGACGTCAAGTGCATGCGCCATTTTGGTGCCCCAAACCAGTCCCGCGGGAGTTGGACTCTTTTCTTAAATGTAAACGCTTTCTTTTGTAGTAAATAATTTACATAACGGCTGGCCACGTGAGTGAAAACGCTTACCAATAACAGAAAGAAAGATAACTTGTTAGTCTTGCTTTATTAATTAATTTATCAACAATTCCCTTTTGCTCATTTCTCATCAGTTTAAAAGCTACAGTTTTCTTTACGATAGGCACAGCATGGGCAGTGTTCTGTTGGCAACATTAAGCCATTGTTAAAGATTTCATTTTTCTTCACTGCTTGGTTTCCAGGTTTCCACGGATCGCCCCCTCGCTGGTTTTCGGCAAATAGGTGCAACGCTTGCACAGATGGTGCACAAATATTGCGGTGTATACTCGTCTGGAAGCTAAAAAATTAAAAAAACATCAACAGACAGGAAGTCAGGCGAACTACGTACTTAGCAGTTATCCTCTTCATTCCACCACCAAAATCCTTTCCTCACTGATAGTCCAAAAGTCAAAAAATCTCTGACTTATTCTCTCTTGCAAAATATAAAAAACTAAATGCAACCTTGTGAACTGAGTTAAGTTAATTGAAGAGATCTCATCTGAATGGTCTGTCATAGAATGGAATATTTTGTCCAAAGACCTAAAGGTTTAATGCATAGTAAATAAATGGTGATTGCAGTATGCTGTCGAGAAACTCAAAAGTGAGAAAGCCTTACTAATAAGTACTACCATGTAAAAGTACTGCCAAAGAGGTTTCATTTGAATGGTCACATCATAAGATTTCATCCACAGACTCAAAAGCTAGAGCTACACTAAATAAATACAACTGTAGTACCATGTGAGAGCACTGCTGAAGAGGTTTTGATTTGAAGGGTCACACCATAAGATTTCATCCAGAGTCTCAAAAGTTAGAACTACACAGTACAAATAAACAGTACCATGTGAAAGTACTGCCAAAGAGGTTTCATTTGAATGGTCACATCATAAGATTTAATCCACAGACTCTGAGGGAAGAACAACATACTAGATAAATAGTGCCATGTGAAAGCACTGCTAGAAACTGCTGAAGAGGTTTTTGTGGAAATTGATTGACTTACATAGTTACAAGTTATTAAAAGTGCTCATTCTAAAGCTGACGAGCTTTTTTTGAAATTCACCTTTTTTTACAGCTTTTTCTAAGAGATGAGGCGAGGGTCGGGAATTTTCGCAGGGATTAAAAGGATGTATTTTACCTGTATACGACCAGGGAGGGAATCGCGTTTCTTTCCATGACGGAGATCGCCCGCCGTTCCAACATGAAAAGCCTCGCTTTGAAGTAATAACGTTGTAGCTAGAATAAATACAACAAGGAAAACTTTGGAGGTCATCTCTAGGGTTGGTATAGTCAGGACGTACAACGCTTCTAAATTTTTAGGAGGTAAAGATAAGGACCAATCCAAGCCAGTTCGAGAGTGTGAAGTTCCAACACGGCAGGCGTCCTTTTTATCGAAAAAGCAAGACCTGGTCTGCCGGATTTTACTTTACGCAAATGGAATTCTTCATAGATAACGAATAATAATATACATCGCCGATCTGCGTAACAATCGTTTTCCAATAAATATATTTTAAACGTAATCACTGTTTTATTTCCGTTCCGCTTCCTTTCTCTCTTTTTGAAGACAATAATTTCACTGTACCTATTGGCTCATTAAGTCAATCCATCCTTACAAATTTCGTCCATTTTCTCTACAGCTGGTTTCTCCCAAATAAAGAAAAAAAAACCTCGTTCATTTAGACCTATTTATGTGAGCTTCCAGAAATTTTGCCTGTCTCCTTGAAAATAATCAAAGGCAGTCATATCTACATAACATTAATCCCCGAGGGAGTAATTCGTTTTAATCACTGATTGTATCACGTAACGACAACAAACCGTTAAAAACTTAAAAAGAGTCTACTATCTGTATGTTCATGACTACGGAGTGCTGTGATTTCTGTCGTTTAAAGTATTAAAGTACTTTTTGTCTCATCGTACAGGGCCTCTGCTTTTAACTTGCTAACTCTATAATTTCTTTCGTGAATAGCTTTATCAATATTAAAGTTTTCGTAAAATCTCTCTTTAGCTTTGACTTATTGAATTTCTCACTTAAAACGTAAACAAAAATATACTACTGATACCGTTTAAAGATTACATGTTCATTCTTTACTTTAATGCTTAACTGGGCGGATATCCAACAAAACGGACTGAAGTTGCAGGCGAAAAACAATTAACCAAAACCCATTTTTCAGCTCCTTTATTCTTTAAGAAGTTGGATCTATCTTTATTACAATGTGCTTGAAAAATGTACCGAATGAATCTAGTCAGACTGATTAATACCATAATCTAATACGATTTTGACCATGGGTACTTTTCATGGGTGTAACTAAAATTTCCACCTCTTCCGATAAAGTTGCAATTTCATTGATGGCCTGAGTAGTAATTTGTCATGGCTTAACAAGGGAATATCAGACAAATGGAAAAGGCAAACAAAATCGCCTCCGGGAAGCTTAGAGTTCCTACAAGAAAATTTTAACCAATAACCACGTTTCGAAGATAAGTTTACTTTGATTTCGTGCGTAAGCCAGAAGTCGTAGCCATGATGGCACCGAAAACAGAAACAAGCAAATGAACGTTAGTTAAAAACGAAGACGATATCATCGGCTGCAAGTTGTCCTGCTGTGAAAGTGTGAGAATCAAGATCATAAATGGGTCATTCGTCATAAAAACATCTCAGTGCATTGAACGTTCTTTCTCAGTGCAGTTGCTTCCACGTATCCCTTGGTCTAATATGAATAGTTTTGAATGCAGTAGATGAAATGTAAAAAAATTCCGAACGTTTTAGCACCTTCTACCTGCATTTGCTTAAGACCTCTCTTGGGTGATAACCGTGACATTGGATAAATTATATTTTATTTATTAAGTCCCCTGTTTTGTCGATACAAACATATTTACACCCTAAAGATATTTTTAAAAATCTTTTCAAGTGAAATTCTCGCGAATAACTAATTACTAACTAAAGAATTAGTACAGCAATCCATAGCAATTTCAGTCAAAATATTACTAAGCTAAGAAGGTTAGTAAATTATATTTTTGGAGGATTTCAATTTAGTTAATTTCGCTTTTACGTTGAGGGCATGATGCATTGCAGACTAAATCCAAATTTGGGGAGCGACAACGAAAACACAATGACATATTTTTTTTTAAACAACGAGGAGAAAGTCGACGTGATGGTACGAAAATCCCCCCACCTCCCCCCCACCGCCAAACAAAAAATGCGCCATTGAAACTTTTCCCCTTTTAATGTCACTCCTTTCTGAACAGCCCATTGAGATGTCTTTCTTAGCTTAAGACCAAAAATTAAAATGAGTGTTGCTCCTGAGCTATATAAGCATTTTTTTTAATTAAGAGATATCAGAAAACTCCCTTTTAGCTATGCATTCATAATCCATTCATGCATACAATTTACCAAAATAGTAAAATAATAAAATGAAAATAAATTATTTTTTTCATGTGGTTCTAGTCTCCAAAATTTCATTTGACTCGGTATCTTATACACGTCATATAAATAACCTCCTCGCCCTGAAGCACAAATCCTTATATAACGTCGCTTATACAAAATGTCCTCCCTTACCGGAGATCGTTTTCATCTAATCAATTAGAAAACTTGACGTACTAAATTTGTATCTTTCTAGTTTAAGTTGTCTGCTGTTCATTTTTAATAAAATAGACCTTTTTAGATTGTATGTTTTGTTTTCCCAATTCAGACCACGTGATATTCTCTAGGGAGTACATATGTATGTGGATACATGTGCATAGGACGACATTTGAAAGAAACAGTTCCTGGGGTACCATCACGTTGTCTAAAGGTCTATTAACATCCTGTTTTTATTTTTCCCTTTCCATGCCTCCCTATGTAATGGCACGTCCTGGCCGCATAAGGATCAAATTAAATTTTATTGTTACCGTTCGCATTTCTATAGGCTGATTTAGCAACAGAACGGGAACGGCAGTTGCCGACGGGAAAGCGCGCGGAAAGGACTAAACACGACTTCCCGTGCCCAATTTGTCGCTCAGCCATTGGTCAAGCCAATTGTTTGATTTGCGCTTGTCGTCGTCAACTGACGTTCCCGTTTTGTTGCTAAATCAGCCTAATACGCTTATAAGTCAGTAAGTATATATGTAAATTGAGTATTAGGGAACGTGACCAGTCCAAATGCCTTGAATATAATCATGCATTTCTCCTTTGCTTTTTTCCTTTATTGTTTTAATAACGTATCTGTTAAAGCACCTACATACACGAAATAAGGAGTCTCGTTAGTACCTTTAGGAGACATGCGAAGCAAAGTTTGAATTTAACACATCAGTGGAGAAATTCTTTATGTACAAGAATCAGTAGTCGTTTACAAAGTGTAATTATTATTGTTAGCGAAATGGATGACATAAGCAATGACTTTTACGTGAGACAACGGTTATTTCAACCCATAACTTCTGGATTTGCTAACAAAATTAAATGGTCTTTCGCGTGTTCAAAATCGAATGGTGCTATTCTATTCATAAAATGAATTAGGGATCGGTCATTATTTCTGCCTGGGGGGGATCACTTGATTTTTAGGAGAACAAAAGGGGGGATCAGTCGTAACTGAGAACCCAAAAGGGGGGAATCACTGAAAACTTTGGAAGGATTCGGAGGAGGGATTACTCACTTTTGCTTGGAAAATGAAGACATGGGGGGAAGGGGGGTCGCGAAAGTCATCAAATGTTATTGGGGGATCACTGCAGTGAAGTAACATTCAAAGGGGGGATAGGGTAAATTTCACCTTGTTTAGCCCAAAATCCTCCGCCCGATTTCTCCCCGGCCCCCCAAGCGATAAATAATGAACGGTCCCTTAAATTACCTTTCGTGGTCGTTTCTAGTAAAACATGAATCTTCTTTTAATAAATATCTACGAATCAAACAGTCGAATTGCTAGTGAGCTCGCCTTCACGTCACAGTTACTCGAGGGCAGTCTCGTTATGCTCTTTATTGTTTTACCTTTTAGTTTGGAGTCCAGGCCGCGAAGGACCGTAAAGGTTTTTTAGTTATTAAATAGCAGTCTTAGTTTAGCCAAGAAGTTTTAGTTGCATCAGTATAGCCTCTTGGTTGGTCCATTTTGCAATGTCATCCTCAGAAAATGGAGAAAATAATAATAATAATCAAAGACGGGAGCTTGTTTATTACCAGTAAAAGAGTATCACATCTGCCTTATTTTTGCTTATGTCTGATTTATGTGCCCATGCCTTGTATATAAGCACTTTCTTTACAATATTCTTTTCATGATCTTGTCACAAAAAAAAAGATATTAAAAGGTGCTGAAATTAGTGAAAGAAACTCGAGATGGAGTGTTCATCTAATAATATCCAAACACCCATGAGAAGTGGCCACCGACTTGCCGTGAGGTGTTTGAATATAAAATTAAACACCCTTTTCAAGTGTTTGATATTAGCTCCTCAAATGATTAGGGTGATTCTTCGAAAAACTTCTGAGCGGTTAAGCTCGCAAACTTTCATAATAGTTACCACAGTTCTCAGCCATCTTCACTTTGCCTATCTACTTATCTAATATTTATTAACTTTTTCATGATGTATTGAAGAGATTAGCAGGCTTCAATTAAGACGTAGTTCTAAATGTAAATGACGACTAAGATTGCATCGAAGTGAAAAGGTTCAAGTGCATTACTTATCATGCTGCACACGTCCTTCTTTTCCTCTCTTGAACGCCGATATTAGGTTCATGAACACGATGAGTTCTTTTTTATCGTTACGATCTCAAATTTCATTTCCTCCCTAATAAACTTTTGCCCTTGGTTCTGAAAACCAGACACACAACACACACAAACTTCTCTTCTGTTTACATTTCCCTCTCTTTAATTTTTCTAAGAGAAAAAAAGTGAAAGTTACAATTAATACCAACACGTGAACTCTGTTTCAGATAAACAAATATATACACGTGCGTATAAATTTCTCTGACATGTATCAACATGACCACTACACGTGATTGAAATAAGTGCCAATATATTGCGTATTAGTATAGTGCAAGCAAGGAAGTGTTATTTGCTATAACTAATCAAATGTTTTCTGATCTCTGTCTCATCTATTTGGTTATTTTAAGCAAGTTTCTTTTGATGAGGCCTTTTCGTGTCGTTTGATTGTTATCTAATCTTTGATGAAGAACGCCACTTCAACACAAAAATTTTAGCTTATAACGGTAAGGGAAATATTCAACTTAAAGGTCACGAAGAAACTAAAGAAGAATTACCTATTTTTTTTTTCATTGTTTAGCGCGAATAGTCTAAACGTTCTGTTGAACCAATC